ACGAAAAACACTGCTTAAAAAAAGAGAACGCCCGCAAGATAAGGAAACAGAACCACCGACAGAATCCCAGTTGAACCTTGTCGAACCTTGATTTTTAGTTGTACTAGTAACGTACGATTGAGATGCACTAATTAGAAACTTTGCTCGAAAAGGACTTTTTCCCTCCTCCAGAAACTCAAAATCTCTATGGAAGCCTATCCCTACACCTCCTCTCGAATACCACTATCACTTTTGGCTGCATCATTAAGTTATCGAGTATCGGTTGGGAGATCCACGTTGCAGCGACGCCCACTAATTATAGCTACTAATTCTCAGCTAGTTAGCTAGATATTCGACACCGTTTTCACGTTAAATCATTTATGTTCTGATAGCGATGCACACATAAATCCGCGTGCAACGCAGCAACATGGATCTCCTGACCAATACACCAGTCACTCAAAGCGCAATAAGCACTATTTCCGGTAGCAAGGAATCATTGCAGAGAACTTATAAATCCCAATAAATCTCCCTTTTCAAAAGAAGGGTTTATCAGGAAAAAGCTGTTCGTATTTCCGCGCTAGTTGTACTTTTTCATCCTAACATCGCCATCCCAGTCTTCCAGATCTCCAACCCACTTATTTCCCCCTTGTGCACTTATTTCAGTGCACATAGCCCAATTCCCGTTATTCCCCTACATGACCTGAATCCGAAAACCAGAGCATTACCTCAGCACGGGGTAAAGCGTGACTTCAGTAATGTTCTTGCGGGGATACACACCTCCTCCTAAAGCCACCAATATCCGTCATCGTGTGGGGGTGTGGGAAGTGGAAAGCTTCGCAACTATCAGAAGAAAAGCCCTGAACAAGGATCACAAGGAAAATGCTCGAAACATGAAATATCAACATCAGGTTATCCGCTAAGCCTCATGCGAACTAGTATCCTCCCCGCGACCAGATACCCCATGAAGATTCCCGGTGTGCGCTTGACCCTGCGCTGAGTCTGCTTCGCGGGATAGTTAAAATTTTAGCATTTGCACGTTCAACTCTAACATCACATAGCATTGATAAATTACCCTCAAAGAACATAAAAGAACTCTCCATACCCTAAAAACAACCACTTCTAGGTTAGCGTCGAATAATTATCACGAATAGTAATACTACCGAATCCTGTTCGGAAGACAGCTAGCAGCACCATCCTTCTTCAGGCAGTTCGTTGGCTTCACTGGCTTTCAATACTAAACGTTCTTGTTCCTGAAACCAAAAGGACAATCAGACAGTTGTGAAAGAGCAAATCGTTTTCAAAATGAACTGATCACAATTATATTACAAATGCTCAGAAAACCGCACGATTAGGACCAAGACACACAGCTTTGAAAAACTCGTCCGGTCGCCGACAAACTCGTACAGTGCTCAGAAAGAAGCGGCTCTCATTCAAGCCCTTCGAGGCGTTTTTGGCTACTAGGGTACTAGAGCTTTAAAGCTTCACACTTAAAATCCAACTCAATTAGTTCACTACAAAAAATTCTGTGCCAAGACTCTCACCCACCTTTGCTTGCCGTTCTCCCTCACTCTGCACATGCATGGGTTTGCTTTGCTGCAGCTTATGAAGCAGTGTCAGGAATATCGACTCAACATGGTCCGCTTCCGAATCTGCCTTAGCTGACGTCTCGAACAGCGCCATATTGTTGCGGTCAGCGAACACCTAGAGCACTAGAGATGTACTGTGAAATGTCACAAAAATAGTACAACTAAACGTTGAGGAAAAAGATAAAATCATCAAGGTTGGTACTTTGCGAATCTGGCGAATACGCGATCCAGAGTCCGCAGTTTAGGAGACTGCGACAAAGAAATGAATGGGAATCGACTGAATCAACAGACACCATTCGCCAAGTATGAACGCTGTTCAAATACTTTCATTTGTTTCGCAGAAGGATAGACAAAAAAAGTATTAGGCACAGTTCGGCTAGGTAGAGGCATTCTGCTGGTTTCCATAGCTCACTACCAATGCAGGTGGGGACATGAGCTTTGTTTATACTTGACAAGAGTTCACAAGTATTACCCAGGTGAGGCGTGTAATTCAACAGGAACTGGCAAAAGAAACTAGCGAAAGTGCAATGATGTCCCCCTAAGCCAAACAACGCAAAAAATATTGATACGGTTTCTAAGTTAGTATTTGTTTTAACGCGATTTGACAGGTTATTAATCTCACCTGAGCAGCATCGGTATCAACACGCGAGGCTCCTAATGATTTCAGGTCACATTTGTTCCCAATAAGATTCGTGCACATTCACAAGTCCGCTTGAGCCCGTTCTTCTCACACTCGTTAATCCAGGAGCGAAGCGAGGCAAAGGATGAGGGGCTAGACAAAATACATCTCCAGTAAAAAAAACTATAGAAAAGCAAAATCTTTCTGCTGCTCGTAAAAGGCAAGCCTCGGAGACTAAACCGGGGTACCTGGGTACTTACCTTGTAGATCGTAAACAAACAACAGACGGTCATTGACCATTGCGATAGAAGGGCCACTATTGAATGCCTATATCGTTCCTGACCAGCTGTGTCCCATAATTGTACCTTTAACAACCTACGTAAGCTTCTAGCAAGACCAAAAAAGGATCTGCACTTGGCGCCACTGTAACTGATAAGGGCTGGGCAACGTGGCGATTTCTTCACACCTAATATTCAGCCTAGTGGAGCGCAGGCGACTAGAGTCAGTGCTAAGCCTCGCCTCAGGACCGAGGAGAACGGATTTCACCGCCGGGCGGCCTCTATCAATTATAGCAGCCCTGCATCATTTGCATACTCGAAGACCTACCTTGAGCAATTCTCTCTCTATTACACAACTTCTTTCCCGGAAATCGACACCTATGGTGGCCTCGGTATGCTCGGGAAATCTACCACAACAGAACCGAAATGACAGGCATGTCTTGCCAACACCTGCATCGCCTACAATAATTACCTGAAATTGTTCTATTTGTGGAATGCTGCTTAGCCGTATAAGAACTTTTGAACAACATGGCTACCTTGAAAGTTCTTTTAGCGTCATAGCACTTTGATGATGTTGGAGCCAGTGGTAACTTGTGATGTTTCTTGTGGTGCGTCTCTGCCGGTTTTTGTGGTTCCTAGAACTTTAATATAGGGCGCAGTCCGGCTGGGGGGAGGGCATTTTGCTTCTCTCGTCGTCGTCTTCATTGTATTACAAGAGTTGATTGGTATCTTTTAACAGAGTTGACAAGTAGTCTCTACAAACTTTGACTGGCATCACTTCATAGCTTTGCAAGATTTCACAGGTCTCTAAATGATGGCTCGACTTGGCGCTGGGAAGTAGCAAAATGTCGAAATGTCCCCCCCCCCCCTCTCAAACCGAACTGCGCCGAATAATGTGAAGAAACCGATTAGAACTTCAGCGTACAATCCGTACAATCAGGCGTCCTTCCAGGAAGATTGGGCATTCGGTGCACAGGATTTAAGACTTTTCAAATCACGAAAAACCCAAAAGAAAATCGAAAGATAAGCACAGAAGGTCCGTAAAATTTTGTGCTTCAGAGAATTCGTTGTGCAGATATGCCCTTTCACACTGAACCACCGCCTACTACCGGAACGGGTTGAAAAAAAATTTGAGTTTCAAGGTAAAAAGGAAAACAGCGGCCAGCCCAGCCGCAAACCATAGCGACGCTGCTGAATAACGTAAAAATGAAGCACATTTTCAAAAATTAAACCTACCTTTGTCTCATTCGTGACATTTGGTGTAATCGCAAATGACTCTTGAACTGTGCTAGGCTTACTTGCCTTCAGGGTTTGGCGAAGGAGCAGGCGAATCCAGATGAGCCTGTACGGCAGGGTACGGAGCTGCTGTTGGTGAATACACCTGCTGAAAACAAAACCGATGGTA